ACGGTGTTTCTTCTGCATATCAAGATATTTTGCAAAGTGGTACTAATAACATTAATTGCTATGCGGACGACAGAAACGGTTGTGCCAATATTTCTCGGGAAAACGTCAACGAGTACCGGAACAAACTTGTGTTCGAAGCGAGATATTGTTGAACAAAGTCTTGAATTGGGGCGACTAAATCTAGTCCAGCTTAATACCCAGAAGAAACAAGTTTGTACGCTTACCGCTAAAAAGAACTCCTTTGTCGTATCCTCCTAGTTTCAGAGAACTTCCTTTGCTGCCTCAGTCAGTATTGGAATTCTCGGCGTCGACATATTGAATGACGTGCGGTTTCGGCGTCACTTGGTAGAGAAGGTCAAACTGGTCTAAAACGCTTGGTATGCTCTTTGTAATTTTACACGGCGCAGGTTCAGCCACAGATGGAATACTGTTCCCGTCTCTGGGCTGAGGCTCCATAATGAGAGCTCCTTCCATTTGATTAGCATCCAGCGCAGAGCAGTTCGCATCGTCGGCGACCGAGCACTTTCTGATCGGCTTGACTCACTGGCGCTGCGAAGAGATGTTGCATCTGTTTTCGTATTCTATCGTATTAACCACGGGGAGTGCTCGGAGGAATTGTTCGAACTAATTTCAGGATTTCATTATCGCACATCGCGACAGAACTTGCGATACCATCCTTACCACCTGGATGGTGGTAAGAATTTTATCTCGAGTTCTATGCTAGGATGGTATTTCGAGTTGGCGGTTCACTACTGCGCGATTTACAAGAAGTTTTTGTCCTCGCACAACTGCCTTATGGAATCAACTATCAGCAGCGATTTTTTCGAACCGATACGACTTAGGGACCTTCAAGAAAAGAGCGTAATTTTTTTTAAGAGGCCGGCAACGCGTCTGCAATTCCCCTGGTGTTGTAGTTGTTCATGGGCGGCGGTAGTCACTTACCATCAGGTGAGCCGCATGCTTGTTTACCCCCTTCTATATTAAAAAAGATATATCTGAATTTGATTCTTATTAGGGATAAATGTAGATGTCTATGGGCCACAGCATTCACTTACCATAATGTGGACTGCGTGTTCGTTTGTCACCTTATATTAAAAAATGTTAGGGGAGCCCAGGTTACAAACTAGACCTACATCAGAAATTCACATCAGGTGTTGTCAGGATAAAATTCGCCGAACATTGAGTTTTTTCTCTAAATAGTAAAACCAAGTAATAAAATATAAAAACCAGCAAACAACAATTATGTAAAATATTGTGATAATTTTTTCCCAAATCCGAATTATCGAATTTGAAATATGAGACTGCGTGTTTCCAGTAATTACATATGGATCTGAGACTACTAGTGATTCTTCGCTGCTGGCCGTATGGGCAGCTTGAGGTCGCTTAATGAGCTTTGGGGAGGGCTATGTTCGGAGTTTCTCTGTGTAATATGCTTAGAAATCAAAATATCCGCAATAGAACCAGAGTATCCGCCATACCAAATCGGTTTTCATAATGAACTGAACTTTGCATTACTTAGTTACCTCATATATATAGAAATGAAACTGTCACCGGTTGTGCACTTTTCTTTACAGATTTGGACTTATTTGAGTGGTTGAAGTTTGCCAAAAAAATCCCCAATTCATATATAAAATAGACAATTATGGCCAATGCTCTTTAAAATGAGACTGATATATTATGTTAAGCAGAGCAAATTTGACTAATACGATATTATTAATCTTAAGTTTATTCGTATTAGGGGGGATGAGTCGCTCGCGTCTGTAGGCTTCGACCACCTAACCTTAGGCCCACCCTACACGTGTCCCCTGGGTGGTGCTAAACGAGCGACAAAGCCGAAAAAATGACTCGGCTCCTCGCCGTATGGTAGCGGCGTAAAATCTACCACCACCCCTTGTTCGCACCATGAGTCAGGAAATAAAAGAAATGGCCCCGAGTTGCCGGCGCCCCTTTAATGGGGCAGGGGTGCGAAGAATCTCCGAGAGAAAAACCGGCGACGAGGTTCGCCACCCGTCACGTTCTGTCTCCCGGAGGGGCGAAAAGTGGATTGCGGAAATCCGTCTGGCTACGCTGAATGTATGTGGAGGAATGAATGATAAGATGGATGAAATATGCGAAATGATGAATGACAGAGGAATAGATGTGTTATGTGTAAATGAGACGAAACGAAAGGGAAAGGATGCCACTGCACATGGCACGTATACCGCGTATTGGTCTGGTGTAGACGAGACCGAACGGGCATGCCAGGGAGTCGGTTTCATCCTTTCAGAAAGAATGGGTCAATGTGTGAAAGAGTATGAATGTGTAAGCCCGAGGCTGCTATGGATACGAATGAAAGTGGGCTTAAAGAAGCTGTTCCTGCTAGGGGTGTACGCCCCAGACATGTCTAAGCCCACTTACATCTGAGAGCAGTTTTGGGACATGGTAAGAATGGTGTTGACAAAATGTAAGGAAAATGAAAATATTATTATGTTAGGAGACTTTAATGGAAGGGTTGGGGTGAAGAGGTCTGGTTATATATGGAAAAGAATCTTTTTGTGACGAATACTTTTTTCGTCATAAGAAGATTCACATGTATACATGGGGAAGAGGTGACGATAGAAGCATGATAGATTTCGTAATTGTGGATGAAAGAATGAGGAGCGCAGTCGTAGGTACAAGGGTTTACCGGGGGTCCAACGTAGGGACGGATCATTACTTGGTCTTATGTCGAATTAATGGTCTTTTCAAGCGTTGGCGGCATCGGGCATCTGTGTCTACCACTGCGTTACAACGGATAAGAATAGATCAGTAACAAGATGAGAAAGAGAAGTATAAATGTAGACTGAGAGAAAATATTAGATGTTTGAATGAGTTGTGTATGTATGATTTAGACTTGAATACTGTGTGGGATAATATTAAGAAAAATTTGGTGGATGCAGCTACGGGCCAGCGAAGTATGTGGTGTAAGTAAGAGAACAAATGAAAGGAAAAGTAATACGTTGCGGTGGGATGATGAGGTACGGGTGGAAGTTGAATCAAAGAAGAAGCATGGTTAGATTTACTAGCAACCAAAGCTGGTAATTCTGGTGGTATAAATGATGAGATTGAAAGAAAAAAGGCAGAATTTAGACGTCTAAATAAGAGAGTAAAAGAAGTAGTTGAAAGGAAAATGAAAGAAAGAACGGATAAGAATGATAGAAGGATATTTGATAATTTCCAGGCTAATATAAAAATGTTCTGGAAACTCGTAACAACTGCCAGGGGAAATACAAAACAGCCTATAATTAATGCTATAAGAGACGAGAATGCAATTTATTGTGAATGATGAAGTTTCGAATTTAAACAGATGGAAGGAATACTTTGAAAGCGTGTTTATGAGCGAAGAGTCGTCTGAATTAAATGAACTAGAAATTCCGAAAGAAGTGGAAAGGGGTATTGAGATAAGTGTAGATGAAATAATGAAAGCAATGAAAAGCATGAAAGCAGGTAAGGCAGCTGGATATGATAGAGTATCACTCGAGATCCTAAGGGCTGGAGAGGGAGTGGTGGCAGGCCTGCTGTACACCTTGTTTAACTTATGTTGGGAATTAAATCGGGTACCGGATGACTGGTGTCAATCAGTTATAGTACCAATATATAAAGGAAAAGGGTCACAGCAGGACTGCAAAAACTACCGTGGTATCAGCTTGCTTAGTATTGTGGATAAAATGTATGCTAAGGTGTTAATTGAAAAAGTTATGAAAGAAACTGATGGAAAAATTTGGGATGTGCAAGCGGGTTTTAGAAAGGGAATGGAGTGTACAGATCAAGTCTTTTCCATGCGCATGATTGCGGAGAAGTTTTTGGCCAAAAACCAGAAAGTTTTTTGTGCGTTCGTGGACTTGGAAAAGGCTTATGACAGAGTGGACAGGAATGTGTTATGGCAAACACTGAACTCATATGGGTTGAGCACTGGTTTGATACAGGCATTAAGGTCTCTTTATAGGGACTCTAGTGCTTGTGTCAGGATCACTCGGACTGGTTTGGCATCCAAAAAGGTGTCAGACAGGGCTGTGTAGCTTCCCCTTGGATGTTCAACCTATTTATGGACAGGTGTTTGCAAACTTTGAAAGATGAAGAATGTGGGTTAAGAATGGGCGAGTTAACCGTCAAATGCCTTTTTGTATGCCGATGATCAAGTCATATTTGCGTCATCGGCGGCTGAGTTGCAAATAATATTTACATTAATGAACTGGACATTAAAAGAAAGGGGAATGAAAGTGAACGCAAGTAAGACGAAAGAGATGGTTTTTGAAAGAGAAGAAAGCAAAACGGTATGTGAAATAAGAATAGAAGGAGAGTTAAGTGAGCAAGTGGATGAGTTTGTGTATTTGGGATGTGTATTTAGCAGGGATGGTAGATATGATAAGGATACAGAACGACGAGTAAAGGCAGGGAATAGAATGAATGGGGCACTTCACTCTATTATGATGAACCAGAATGTGTCAAAAAAGGCACGTATGGTAATTCATAATGCTGTGTTAGTCCCTACTTTAATGTATGGTAGTGAAAGCTGGGTGTGGCAGGAGAAGCACGAAAGTAGAATAAATGCTGTAGAAATGCGGTCTTTAAGGAGTATGCTAGGGTTGAATCTGAATGACAGGGTGAGAAATTGCGTGATAAGAGATAAATGTGGTATGCAAGATGATGTTGTGACCAGGATTAAGAAAGGAATGCTTCGGTGGTTTGGTCATGTAGAAAGAATGAATGAGGAAAGAGTGACAAAGCAAATTTATATAGCAGTTGTGAACGGCCGAGTCGGGAAGGGACGCCCTAGAAGAAAGTTTATCGACCGAATTGGCGATATTTTGAAAAGGAGCCACATTAGAAGTACCCTTAAACGACGAGCATGTATGCGTAGATATATGGATGTAAAGGAGGCGAAAGAGGTATGTCAGGATCGTGCCAAATGGAAGTCCGTAGTCTCTGCCTACCCCTCTGGGTGACAGGCGTGAGTGTTTATGTTATTATGTTATTATATTTTATTCGTTCTCCTGACTGTGGAGACGGGCTGCTGCGTTGGTGGCCCTGATGCTTAGTTGTTGCGCACGTTCCACAATGTTCTTTCGCTTCTTGGAAGAGACTCCGTGGGCGATCTCTGCGCAGAACTTCCTGTTCTGCAGCATGAGGATCTCCAGCTCGCGGACATTGTGGATCAGGACCTTACGGAAACCGTTGGGGAGCGTGTGACGGGTCTTCTTGTTTGATCCATAACCGATGCTGGGCATCAAGTACTGTCACTTGAAGCGCCTGCGCACTCTGTTGTCAATACCTCTAGGTTTACGCCAGTTGCGTTTAAGTTTGTCATAGCGATCAGATTGATGTCTGATAAACCGTTTCGTCCTCTTTTTGACGATTGTAGGTCTGTACACAGGTCTGATGGCCATTTTGATTGTTTCTTTTGAGAAACGCGGCTGTGAACCACGCGGTGACACGGCCGCACGAAAAGGGAACCTATTATAATGATATACGCTGGTGACAGCTTCCGATATAATTAGGAAGTCGTCGCTGTTATTGAAATGAGCTAGAAGAGCGTCTTCATCATTATAATCATTATCATCATCCCGAGAAGGCTAATGTATATTCTATGTGCCGTTATAACCAAATAATGTATTTTTCGAAATATTTTTCCAAACCATGTGGTTTCTTTAAAAAAATAAAAGAATTTATTTTGTTTTACAATTATGTTAGAAAATTGCAGTATAATAATTATTATTATTTCAAAAGATTTAATGCATATTTTTGATTAATTAACGTGTTTTATTAGTAAACAATGTTCAAAAATAAAAAATGATTCACTAAGGAACGGAATAGACAATCTACTCAAGTATAATTAATTTAGAGACTATAAAACTTAAGGCACATTAATTAATTGTAGTGATTACCTATATTAAGATTAACTAATGCAAAGTGAAATACATTCCGGCTCCTTAATCCATAGCTCAAAATGCAAAGTGGGTTATTCTTGTAATTATCTCACGATTTAATATATTCTAGCTGGTGTGATAAGCCGCTTCGGAAGACGGGGGGGGCTTATCTTGCCTTCAGTTGTAGGTCGCTCGATATTGAAGACGTGAGGCAAATACGAAATCATGTTGCTGAATTTTACTTAAGAAACAGACGCGAAAATTGTGTTTTATCGATGTTATTTAGGACCTTATATTGAGTACTATCTTTTTCATTAATTCGTTACATGCCTTCATAAGTTCACTGTCGAACATAGGCCTCCCCCAGGAAAGCTACAAACACGGTCTCGAGACTGTAATAATTGTAGAAATTATTCTTTTCTTTTATAGGATAAAGGAGACAAGCGAGCTCACAGTTCACCCGATGGTAAGTGGTTGCTGTGGTCCATAGACATCTACATCTATCCTCGTTTGCGAATAAAATGCAGATGCGTTGTCACCCATGAGGACTAATATGGAATACCTCGTTTATTAGATATGTAAGTATATTGATCGATATAAGCCTTACATAACTTTAACACTATTCGCATTCGTTAGTAATCGATATAAATACAATTAGAGGACAACTTTTACAATCAGAACCCAACTATAGCAACACCATTCCCACGTCAACTATGGCAACACCCTTACAAAGAGAGTGTAATGACCCTTCCTCAGTATTCCATACTGTTTGTAGAAGAAGGCTATGGAGCATCTCGGTTTGGAGTTGCAGAGTGGTCGCGGGGTAAGAGAATGCAGCAGTCATTTCGGCACGTGGCTGTTGAGAGACAACGATTGGAGATGCCATAAATATCTCATGGCTTCCTATAGATGATGGTACACTTTTTTATAGTATAGGGTGACAAACGAGCACACAGTCCACCTGATGGTAAGTGGTTGCTGTGGCCCATAGACATCTACATCTATCCTCTATTACGAATCAAATTGCATATGTGTTGTCACCCATGAGGACTCAGATTGATTGCGTCGTTTTTAGTAAAATGGGTTTTCGGTCTCTACACTCACCATACAAAACACACAGCATTAAGCTACTATTTTACGCTGGCATTCTGTGAGAGCGTGGTTCTTCCTCAGTCGAGCCGACCCATTAATGCTACAACTGTACCACTAATATAACTGCAGCATGGCTGTACCACGTATAAAATTTTGACGACTTTACCTGTTTTCGAAATATTTTTATTCCTCAGACATGTACGTTCCTTACGATGTTACCTTCACTGACGAGCACGCGGTATTCTCCAGTATTCTCCTCTCAAAGAAAAAAATTTCATGTTTCTTCATTATCATGAAAGCTGAGCGCCACGCCTCTGATTTATTTGTACCATGCCTATTATAGTTAAATATATATCCGCATAAAATTTAAAAGTGAAAGTTACAGCCTACATACGTCCCACTGTTAGGCACAGGCCTCCACTCATTTCTGAGAGGGTTTTAGGGCAAGGAATAGTCCGCCGCGCTGCCCCAATGCGTATTAGCGAACTTCACATGTCTTCCTATTTTTTTTTTCTTATTTCTCAGACATGCAGGATTCCTCACGATGTTTTCCTTCACCACTGATCACGTGGTAAATCAGCACTTAAAATTGCAATTAACAATTTCATTGATGCCGTCGGGGATCGAATCCGAGTTGCTCGCATACTGTGAAATTTACAGCGAGCGATAACCATCCCATACTCTCAGCACGTCCCAATCCCAAGCGCGACGCTGTACTCACATATATACTTATATTAATATATTATAATTTACACTCGTTAAAATAAGTACGTCTTATTGAACGAACATACCTACACACATGTTTATTTTGTGACACTATGGGGAAAACTAATGAACATTGTTACATAGCGTCAATATCCTTTCAGTGTGCGGCTTAAAGACTACCAGAAGATAATAGGAACAAAGACGAGACATTCATAATACCCACTGCTAATTACTTATGTTGTATGAAGCTTTATACGAGAGCTCAGGGACAAATGCTATTTCTTTCACTGTGCCAACAATAGTCAAAGAACGTGGGCGGCTAGAGAACGAGTGTATCTTGACGTAACGACCAGCACTAATGGACATCATACGGTTTAAATGATTTTAGTTATATTGGATAGTATTTTTCTTCACATTTAACAAAGTTGAAATATGTATGGAAGCCATGTTTGATACTGGTTTGTGCCTACAGAGATTCAGATATTGGAAACCAAAACTATTTTCCTTTTTTATGCCAGATTAATTTTAAATATAGGTTATAAAATTTTATTAAATGTTGTGTAGTTTATATATATATATATATATATATATATATTTTTTTTTTTATATTTGTAAAGTAAACGCATTTTCTTATTTCTCACAATTTTAGAGGTGAGTTAAACGACTGTCTTGTTCGTCTAAATAAGGCGCCACCTGTCGACTGACTCGTATCTAGGTGGCGACAGACGTACCAAGTGATTAAACTAGTAGCCTGACCATTTTTCTTGCCTTATTGAAGAGGTGCTTAGCGATCCAGGGTCGTCGACATTAAAATAAATGTTGAATTTAAATGCTAAACTTGCTGGCACTTAAAACGTCCACATTAAATCGTGGTTTTAAAAGTCAAGGATTTATAAATATTTTTATAAACATAAAATACATAATATGATGACTAGAAATGGAAATATTTTCTAATGAGTTTGAATGACAGCTGTTTACGAACTCACAATGTATAAAATAGCCAGATCATACTTATGATTAATGAATCGGTGTCTTATGAGAATAATTTTGAAAGTGCAATGGTTTTTCTCTGTAAGCCTTTTTTTAAATATTATTATTTATCTAATCCCCTACACATTAAGGTTATCTTTATTTTAGTTTAGACATGCAATACACTCACACAATTCAAAAAGAATTTTTGAATACGTATTTATTAATTAATTATTAATAAATAAAATTTTTGATTTATATTCACTTTCTCAAAATGTATAATATTTTTATTCTTTAGGTCCGGTTTCAGATTCAGGATCAGCTGAAAACCGGCTATTGGGTTTTGCTATAAATATATTCTAATTTGAAGACCGGAGTCAGTAGTACGAGGCATGCCTTTTAAGTTACCGACAATTTTGAATTTCGAACTGTTCAATTTGGAAAAGTTCAAAAAAGACAATTGAAAGTATGAGGATTAATGCTATTGTTTAGTCACAGAGTTGATTTGAATCTGTCAGATCACGTATGAAAATGAATCTTATTAAGGAAAACATAGAATACTATAATACTATAATACATGTATTATAGCATTCTATGAAGGAAAATATCCGTGCAGTAATTTTCCCACAACTTTCGAATAGGTCTAACACGGCGTCAGTGTTTGCAAGAGCTGGTATTTAGAATTCCAGCGTGGACATACCAATCTTAGTGACAAATCTCGTGAAGGCCGTCCAAAATCCGCCTTCACTGAAGATAACATCATTGCTGTTTGAAAACTAATTCTCAAAGATCGCTATATGACATATCGAGAGATAGAGGCGTTATTAGGCAACTTAGGGATAACCATTTAAAAGATCTTGCATGAAGCACTTGGTGTGAGAAAGCTAATTTGCCGTTCGATGCCGCATTTGTTTTCCGACAATCCTAAGGCGACCCGCGAATGAATGATGATGAATGAATCGGTGTCTTAGGAGGATAATTTTGAAAGAACAATGGTTTAGTCAACTATTGTTTAAATATTAATATTTATGGTTATTATGGTTCTGTATACTTACCATACGAAGCACAACAGTGTTAAGCTGCTATTTTTCGCCGGTATTCTGTGAGAGCGCGCTCCTACCCCGGTCAAGCCGACCCACTTGTGCTACAACCACAATACCTATAGCTTTGATTATATTTTTTTTAATAGGATAGGGTGACAAACGAGCACACAGTCCATCTGATGGTAAGTGGTTGCTGCGGCCCATAGACATCTACATCTATCTTCCATTACAAATCAAAATGCAGATGCGTTGTCACCCGTGAGGACTGAGATGGAATGCCTCATTTCCAGTAAAAAGGGTCTCCGGTTCTCTACACTCACCATACGAAATACAGCAGCATTAAGCTACTATTTCACGCTGGTATTCTGCGAGAGCGTGGTCCTTCCCCGGTCGAGCCGACCCATTCGTGCTACAACTATACTACTAATATAATTGCAGCATGGCTCTACCACGTAAACCTGTCTAGATGCCACATTGTCCGTACAGAACGGCCCAAATAAAGTCTACTAAAATTGGTAGACTCACTTCTCACCTACGTCAGTGTACTCATAG